TATCATTATAAAAGTCATTAGGAGGACTCCAGGTGCCGCAAGAATAAAATGATCGTTCACCTCTGATGCCGATTCTATCGCGAATAAACATAACCATTACGTGCCTCCGGGCAGACTACCTTTGACTTTCCTGGGGATTGGTCAATGTACATACTAAACTATGATGTTCTATATAGCTACATCGATTACATCGTTTTTATTCGTCTTTGATCGTTTTTAAACATGAAACTATGGTGTGCTTAAAACAATATCCTCCATAGAAAATCACAAGTAAACTAAATGTGTAATAATTATTATTTTTGTATAGGTTCGAGTATGTCAAGCCCGCTTAAATCTCTTTGTTTGCGGCAGCGTGATTTGGTGGGTTGTCCACTTCCTATTAAAATGGTCAAGTAGGGCGATGACTGCCACACGCATCATAATAGTGAGCCAGTGCTGTGTGTCGACATTCTTATTCTAAATTTCACACGAAGGTATAGTAGAAGAAGGTATAGTATATAGTTAAAGTTTATTCGAGTAATTTCATATCTATATTTCTCTATTAGCTTGTAGACAGTCTGCTGCTAAATATTAGCATTAACATTTGTTTCAGTTTTGATAGTAAAATAGACAGTAAAATAACATACAGCGTGATTCAAGTGTAATTTCCGCACCTGTATCCTTAATGTTGAGATTTGACTGCAGAAATTCAAGTTATTTATTTAAGGGGAATCTCACCAACAGGTTAATTGGAAGCTTTTCTCCAGTTTGCTGTTGATACAAAAAAATCGTTTTAGTTATAAATGAGTTAAATATAATAACTTAGAAAAAATATTATCTTTCTACTTTCTTAACTTACCTTTTTAATTATGTGCAAGCAGCTATGCGGGTCTAGATGGAGAGACTAATGTCACTGCAACCTAAAAATCTATTGTAATCGCTACTATGGCTATAGTTTACTGCTAAGCTCTAAGTATTTGATGTATGAAAGGAGTTGCTTAGCTGTGAGCAATTTCATTTTACTGGGCGCACAGTTTTCCAGGTGAGTATTACGTTTCCGCAATCTATTAGAATGTGCAGAGGTGTTTCTTCCGTTAAGGAACAAAACCAGCTCATCCTTGAGTTACTTAGTCCCAGGATGGACATGTGCTTTTTAAGACAACAATGTCCAAGCAGGACTGTTGCCAGAATGCCCAATTTATTTTTACTTAATCTCAGGGCTTCTGAAGCAAATTTACGATCGAAAGCCCGAGTAAAGGTTTTAGAATGTTTTAAGCCTGGTGTGTCCAACTAAATCTTAAGTGATTTTTTGTGTTCTTCAATCCAGCTAAGACACATCATTGTATTTATCTAGCGGAAGATTGCGAAGTAATTTATATTTTTACTGAAGATTATTGCTTGGACCCTGATTCAAACTATAAAACTGGACCTGAAATTATGTGCATATCGTAAATTAAATTAGGCCCTGTAGCTTAAAAGAGTATGACTATCAAAACACTTACTATCCTCTATCGTTGTTGAAATACAGCAGTGTACAAAAACTTACCGTTGAAGAACATTAAATCACCTATAAGGAAGCTTCTTACCTTGTTCTTGTTTCATTCTTGTTCAACGGGTATATGAGCCAGCATCAATAATTATAACCGTTTGATAAGGACTATCTTACTAAGGTATCATATCGCTTAATTTTTGTGGAAAAGTATTTAAAATTTGGACTTTAGCAAAATGTTATTAAGAAACTCTTTTGCGTCGCGTAGTCAAGCCTCTCAGTTCCAAAAATGTACCGTGAACTTTCCAGTGAGACTCTGCTCCCAGTCACAAGGTACGAAAAATGCAAATCTCTCTCGAAGTAAAAGAACAAAATTGGTTTAAATTCCAATAAACCTGAAGACTGACTCTTGTCCAGTTCAGATATTGATTCGTTAGACTACAAGTTGAAGAATGTTTTGCTCAAAATTTTGTGTGAGACAATTTGTAATAGATTCGTGGCCAATTAAATACACGGTCTGTGTGTAGGCCAAATGCTTTAGACGAATATATGTACACACAAAGTTTCTAAAAAATCATGTTAATCTATAATATAAGTGATAGTCGTGCTGGATAGACGGTTGCCAAAAATTTAAAATAAAGAAAATTATAAGCTGTACAGCTATATATTATTTTTAGTATATATAGTATTTTTAGTCTTTCAAATCTAATCGATTTTGTGCACTAGCTTTATTATCTGGTAAATAGCAGACGTTTAGCAAAATCCGTGTAATAAAGAGGATTTAACTGGCAAACAAGTTTTATCTCCGTGAAAGTTCGTGCGCACCTTAATCCTTCACGTGCTTATGTTCTTCCTAACAATAAAGTAACGATAAACCAGGGTTCTTAAGTTTTTGTTTTGCCATATTAAAAAATTGCCAATAATAATTTTAAGATTACATATTCCTAAATATGTATTTGAGCGATAATGTTTAAAATGAGGTATATAAAACCCTAGGAATAAAATTAAGTTAAATTATTAAAATAGTATATAATTAAAGTAACTGTTAAATCTAAAAGTATTATAATTAAATTCATATTTCAATGTTTGTTTCACAATTCATAAATAAAACGTATAAGTGAAAAAAAAAAACAATCACAAGAGAGATTTTCGAGACGCGAGATTACCAGACCTAATATTACGAGTATTGTTATTGACAATCTTGTAGCTTAGATGATAGAAATATTTTATTGCAAGACTTTTAAGCCCATTATGACATGTTTCAGTTGACTAGTGGTTTGATCTACGATACTAAACACACAGCATGTTGGGCGCTGGAGGTTGATGAGCACGGAATAAAATAGATTTTTAATATAGGGGTTTTACAATACTTAATGTAAGACAATTTTTTATTTACTGCGGGTTCCAAAAATACCTGTGTCCTGGGAAGAAACCAGCAAAAAACGTAGGAGGATTATGGTACAAACATAAATTTTTACAATAATATTATGCAATAATTTTCAGTTTAATTCAATTTATTATTTTCCATACATTATTTTCACTCATGTGTTCGTTAATATTTTATTAATATTGTCGGAGGAAATAAATTTGTCGGAGGAATTGCATGTACAGCTGGTCGAGTCTCTAGTCCAAGCTTAATTATGCTGATGCTGTGTAAGTTCCACAATTACTGTCCAGAACGGAGTGGCTTGTTCATTGCGTTCACAACCATTGCGCCAGTTTTTGTTTATCAGTTCCTTTTCGAGGGCACGTCACTCCGTTTTTCAGTGATCACTACATACTTAAAATGAAGTCGAGACACTAATTTCGTATAACGAGCTTGCTTTTTGGCGTCATAAAACATCAGGTATCATCGTATTTGTACAATAAACTTGGCTGGATTGCTACATTGGGGCAATGGGATAGAAAACAGTGCTCGCAGTAAAACTCTGTACAAAAGCGTAAGTTGGCATCATTCAAGGGAGCATTTCGCTTTGCAGTCTCGAAAATATAGAATAATATACTACCACGTCTTAGGCAGCCAAGCTCTGTTACTAGCTTTAAAAGTCACATGAAACAATATTTATTTAGTGCACACAAAGACCTAGGCATGGTTAACACTAACATCAAAATGTCCTCCTATATTTGATGGTTATTTGAGAGGTACAAGGACTGAATTGTTTGACGTCTCAATGTAATAGTTAGCCCGGCTTCCTTCAGTTTTAGAATATTAAGTTTTGGTCTGATCTACGCAAAATGAGCTTACAGGATCTTGAAGTCTTGCAGTCATATGCTTGGTTTTGAATTTAATTTAATTTATTATAGGACTCAAGCAGATGACAGCACCCATCCATCTTCTCTAGTGAAATTAAGATGTTTTTTTTTTTAATTTCAGTAGCCCCAAAATCATCTTTGATAGGAATTGGTGGTGTAATGGCGGGGAAGATCTTAATATTTTACTGACTGCAGACTTTCCGGAGTATCGGTGCTTCAAAAATCAATTATAATGTAATTAATATGTATAAATATGCCTAATAATACTTGAAAAGTTGACTTCAAAATTTATGGTAACCTTTTTTGAAAAGGAATTTAACTACTATCACCTTCAAATCTGTATTACGATAATTGCCATTAACAAGTTATACAAATAATTGCTCCGTACAGAATTTCATCCATTGTAGCTATTGTAAACCACTCTCGCGTATAGACTAAAATATCGTTCTGTGAAACTACTGTACGAAGAACAATGAAAAGCAATATTAATATTATGAAATACGCAACGCACCTGTAGGTGACGGTTACGTTTATTTATCATTATTAATTATACATTTTATTCCATCGATAAAAAAATCAAAGCAGTTTAACCTTCTCACTAATCTAAATATATTTTTGTATCCTGATGATCCTAGTGAGGGCTTTAATATAAAATTTGTATTGTCATCGACCGTTGACCACTTTGCAAATTTTCAAGTTTATCAGACTCCTAGAAGTAGGTGAAAATGAAGTTAAAAGATTCCGTTATATACATACATATATACAGGTCAAGCTAATAAAAGCGTGTTAAAAATTACTGGTAATACCAAGGAAAACAGTAATTATCTTTATATTATTTATTATTGGCTCTTCCTCCTGGACCGCCGCAAGGTGAACTCGTTTGTAACATTTCTTCGTCGTTTGTTACATTTTGATTACATTTTCAAATTTAAATAATTAAATCAGTGTTGATAATTCGAGAAAAAAATAGGAGTGCTGAAAGCGGTGGTGGTGAGCAAAACTGTGAGTCCAACTTCCTTATATTCTGATTGCCTAGTACGCGTCCCCCTTCTGCGGACCTATTTTATGTCGTCATCGACCTAACTGCGTATGCGCTTAGCCTATCTGCATACGCACTTTTCGGCCATTTTGGCGTTTTAGTCCAACCCACTCAAACGTAACTCCGCCCCTTGCTTGTCATGGAACATTGCTGCCGCACTGTTTTCTGCACCATTTTTCGACTACGTATTGAAGAGTATAACTAACTCCTATTCACTTATAGTCTCCTAACCTTGAGCAAATGGATACCATGAATAAATCGTTATCAGATACAGAAGTGGAAATCGCACATCAAACAACCCCACCAAACTTTTTAACTGTCCGGAAAAAGAGAAGAAGAAATGAAGAATACACTTCGGAACTGGCTAATTTAAAAGAAGAAATGAAAAACATGTTCTTATCGCTTACGAATTCTCAAAATCTTGAATTTAAAAAAAAATGCAAGCATTCTCAAAGAAATCCAAAAAACTAACCAAAATATCGAAAATTCTATTGCTTTTTTGACAGAACATAATAAGGAATTTCAAGATAGGATCTCTAAGCTAGAAGGACAAATTAAGGAGGATAGGAACTATATAGCTGTTTTGGAAGACAAAATAGAAGACATGCAAAAAGATAGACGTAAAACAAAATCAAGAACGTCCCAAGAAAGAACGACGAGTATAAAACAAACCTTATTGAAATGGTTTTAAGTCTATCCAACACTATCGGCTGCCAAATGGTAAATTCAGATATTTAGGATGTGTATAAAGTCCGTGAAAAATGAGAAGTTATTAAGAACACTCCTATCATTGTGGAGACATCATTTACAATACAAAAAAATGATTTTTTGGAAAAATGTAAGGAGTTCAACAAAAAAAAAAATAACAAATCAAAACTCAGTGTTCATCATTTAGGACTTAAGTCTTCAGGTGTAGAAAATAACCCTATCTTTGTATCAGAGCAGTAAACAGCTAAGACTGCCAGACTCTATTTTCTTGCACGCGACCTTAGCAAGACAAATCGTATAAATTTTCAAATCTTACGGGAAGTTTATTTCAAGAAAAACGATAACTCCAAAATAATACTATATAAATAATACTAATATAATATACATGCAGTCTCTTCCTTTATATTAGAATAAGCTTTTTCGTGTTTTCGTATATTTATTTTTTGTTTTTAATTATTCACCACATAAATGTAAAAAAGCAATCACTCAGATACACTTTCACACATTCATCTTCCAGTAATACAATACAGTCATATCTTAACAAACAGTTCTAGAATACACAGACTACTGTAACTATTTCTACTTTTCTTAGGTTCTTCTATCACTCTACTCACCTGCACATTACGTTGCTATTATACGTATATAAAAACTTTTATTTTAATTATTTTATATATACACATCGAGCTAATTACTTTGCAAAATTACCCTCTATCAAATTGTTTATAATATTCAACAAACTCTATAACAAAATTGATAATGTATTTATTTATTTTATAAAAGTAGAATGAACAATACATTTTCTATTATACAAGACATGGACGATTCAAAAATAGAGAAATCTATTCAATGTGATATACAAGATTTAACTAAATATATAAATGTTTTCAAAAATGACATAACCTTAATATGCGAAAATATTCGTAGTATTTACAAAAATATTGATGAATTTGAATCTACACTATCGCACCTTAATTTTGAAGTTTTGAAGAACGGAGTGTAGACTTAGCTTAGACAGACCGCTACCTCATTTATCTAACTATACATCACTTGCAACAAAATTTAATCTAAATCAAAATGATGGTGTAGTAGTTTATGTCAAAAATATTCTTAAGGTATCTATGAAAGAGGTGAAATTGGATCATGCTTCCTGTCTACTGATAAATATTTTTGACCATACAATTTTATGTATTTACCGTTCTCCGTCGAATCCAAATGCGACAAACTTTATCGACTCTATTAGTTCTTACTTGGACACAATAAAGTCATGCCGTAACATAATAATAACGGGTGATATTAATATAAACCTAATTCCTAAGCAAAACGAAGGATCGAATTAAACTAATAATAGGGATAAATATTTGAATATGTTGTCAACTCATGGAATGGTACCTGGTCACTCTCTACCGACTAGCGGTGCTAGCTGTTTAGACCATTTTATGTTAAAATTAAACAAAAGAAAATTATCTTCGCATATAGCAATCTTAAATACAAGTACTACTGATCATTCAACAATTTTTTTGAAATTAAGTAAAATAAAACAAAAGCAAAATGTCTCGAAAACAGTAGAATTTGTGGACTACGAAAGAGCGCTCTCAATATTAATGCAGAAGAATATCTCTACATTATTATTTTGTGACGACCCGAATGTAGTTGCCGAAAAACTTATAAAATGCTTATCTGAATCCTTAACAGAGAGTAAAATTACAAAAAGAAAGCCAAAATCACAACGCACCATTAAATCTTGGATTGCACCTGGTATTTTAAGGTGCATTAGAAACAGAAATAAAATGAAAATGCAACTGCGTTCGGATCCTCACAATGTAATTTTAGTAATTACCTATAAAAGATACAGAAATTTCTGTAATAACCTACTAAAAAACTCAAAAGAAAATTTGAGAGAGAAAAATTAAGAATTCAAAAATACTTTGGAAAACAATTAAAGAAATAACAAATCTAAAACCTAATAAGACCATAAATTCTGATTTACTAAATATTAAATTAAACCCCTACGATTCAGTTAACCATGTTAACGACTACTTTTCAAACATTGGTAGAAAGCTTGCTGAGGATATCCAAAAATATGACACCTCTCCCGAACCTGACAGCCTACATAGGCTTAAATCACATTTATCATCATTTGCCTTATTAGAAACTAATCTGGACTGGAAATTGAAAATATCCTGTCATATCTTAAGTCAAATAGTGCACCTGGCTAGGATAATATCTCTACTCGGTTTCTCAAGTTTTCTAAATCCCTCGTAGTTCCCGTGATAAGTCATTTGACTAATCTCTGCTTCCAAAAGGGTATTTTTTCGTCCTATTTCAAAAAATCTTTAGTGATTACATTGCACAAGGGTGGAGGAATAGATGATGTCAATAACTACAGGCCCATTTCAGTTTTGCCTGCCGTTCCTAAAATAATAGAAAAGTTAATAAATAAACGACTTACCAATTACCTTGAAAGCTTTAATCTTCTTTCAGATAACCAATTTGGGTTTAGACGCAGTAAGTCGACAGAAGATGCAGTAGCAGCGCTAACATATCATATAACTAAACAACTAGATCAAGGCCGTAAATGTTTGGCTATATTTTTGGACCTTAAGAAAGCCTTTGACACTTTTTCTTCTTTGATCCTTGTGCGGAAATTGGAAGCAATCGGTGTAAAGGGCATCCCGTTGAATTTAGTCAAAGATTACCTGAGGGAACGTAAGCAACAAGTAAAAATTGGTGACTACATTAGTACCCTTTTACAACAAAAACCCAGAAAACATACAAAATTTGTCTTACACAAAGTTCAAAAATATTATTATACTAAGTTTGTACAAAAAAGGTTATTATACTATTAAGGAATTTATGAATCATAATAACCCATGGGAAGGGTAATTGCTACCAAGCTATTTCTAATTTGTCTTGTGTTGTGAATTGTAAACATGATTGTAAGCTATTATTGGAAAAAAAAAATAGTCCCATTGGGTTTCTTGCTGGTTCTTCCCAGGACAGAGGTTTTTTTTGCGAACCAGTGGTAATTGAAAAAAGTGACTTTCAATAAGTATTGTTATAATCTACATTGATTAAGAAGTTTCTGTTTCTGTTTCTGTTTCGAAGAATCACCGCTTACCTTTGGTGTTCCTCAGGGAAGTGTACTAGGTCCTACATTGTTCCTTATTTATATCAATACATTAACTAACCTACATTTATTCGACGGTCGAGTATTTTCTTATGCCGATGACACTGCAATTGTTTTTACGGGAAAGAATTGGAACGCAGTATTTAGAAATACTGAATCTGGTCTATTAATAGTTTCAAAATGGCTCCAAAGTAACCTTCTTTCCTTAAATATTGGAAAAACTAAATATGTATGCTTTAAGATTAATAATATAACGTAACAAAATAATAACAATAATTTAAAAATACATTATTGTGGTATTTCTAACAGTTCTAATTGTAAGTGTACAGTTATCGATAAGGTTGCATCTATAAAGTATTTGGGGGTTGTTCTGGACCAACACTTGAACTGGCATTCTCAAGTTGAATATACGAGTTTAGGATACAGAAATTAATTTGGATATTTAGGAAACTAAGACATGTCACCTCTAAAAAACTACTAAACCAAATATATATTGCATTGGCACAATCCATAATGGGGTATTGTATCTTAGTCTGGGGAGGTGCAGCTAAAACAAAATTGTTAGAAATCGAAAGAAGTCGGTGTTGTCTACTCAAATTTATGTATTTTAAACCATTTCGTTTTCCAACCGAAGAACTTTACAAGTTGAGTGAGCTTCTTTCAATAAGACAGATATCCATATATATCGATATATAAATATATATATATATATATATATATATATATATATATATTTTATCCTATCAATAGTTTTACAGACACACAATTTAACTCATAAATAAATAAGAAGAAGAAAAGATAGGGTAGCAGTAACTAGTTACGTAAAAACCGAATTTGCTCAGCGTCAGATTCAATTCAGACCTTATAATCTAGGTAATATTAGGTGTATGATAAACAAGAGAAGAAAAAATATACCAAAAAAAACGAAAAAGGTTTTGTGTGTGTGTGTGTGTGTGTGTGTGTGTGTGTGTGTGTGTGTGCGTGTGTGTGTATGTGCTTGTGTTTATAGCGTTTAGGTTTTATTTCATGATTTTAAGTAGTTCCTCAGTCGTTTCATAATCTTGACTTAGTAACCATAGGGTTACCATCTTTTTGCATTTCAATTTGGGAAATTTGTATATAGATAGAATGGAATTAATTTTATTATATAGATGAGAACCCAAGAAGCAAAAGAAATTATGTGTAAAGCTTCTTTTGTATGGTAAAATGGGACAAATTTTACTTTTATTTCTTTTATTTGTAAGCAGAGAAGGATTGTAATATAACATAGAATGTTGTTTTAAAATAGTGTGGAGGATAAATAATTGGCGGACTTCTTTAGTGGGATACGGATTGTCTTTAGTGGGATAGAGAAACGGAAAGAAATTACTCACCTTAAGAAGTGCTCTTTGGGCACGTTCTAATTTGAGTAGATGTGATTTAGAGGTACCACCCCAAGCTGTTATGCAATAGGTAATCAATGATTGGCAAAGTGAGAAGTAAGTTGATTTTATTATTGTTTCGTCTACCACATGTCGAAGATTTTTAAAAATATAGATCAACTTGCGCAACCTATTAGAACCTAGAAGATTAATGTGTGCTTGAAAATTCAGATTGCTGTCAATTATTATACCCAAATACTTTATTTCATTTACTTTTTGGAGCGAAGGACAAGAACAGTTAATAACATTATTATAATTATAACAGACATGTGCTTTTATATGGAAATTAGGTGAAATAGGTGTATATGTAAGTTTTTTAAATGTGAATGACATATATTTAGTTTTAGAGACATTTAGCATTAATTTATTATTGTTCATAATTACATTGAGGCCTTTTTGGGCATACTAATATGCTTCGTCCCATGTATCACCGCTGAATAAAAGCGCAGTATCATCGGCATAAGAAACAAGAGTTCCATTTATCAATTTTAACTAGCACATGTTGTTTATATAGGTCAAAAACAGGGTAGGACCTAAAATAATACCTTGTGGTACGCCATGAGAAACGGGAAGATCATCACTAATCCAATTTCCTATTTTAACACATTGCGATCGGTTAGTGAGATAACTTTCAAAGAATTTCAATTGCGATCCTCTGACTCCCAGCTTGTATAATTTGTGAATTAATAGTGGAATAGAGACCGTGTCAAATGCCCTAGCCAGATCAAGAAATACTGCTATTACTTTTTTTTTGTCGTCCATGTGTTTAACAGTATAACCCAAAAACTCATGAACTGCATCACTTGTAGCTTTGCCATTTTTGAAACCAAATTGTACATGTGACAGGAGATTTTTTGATTCAAGATACCTGTACCCCGAGCACGAATAATAAGCAATTGCGTCATGAATTCGTATAGAGTCAACTATGCGAAAACCAAAACCAAACTGTGGCTATAGTCGTCGGCAGCACGAACGCTTATCTCTTATTCACGTGTACTCGATACAATAATGTAACTGAATGTAACTATATGTAAACAAACCTTAGACCACAATATTAAAACGAACGAATGAAAATGAATGACACGTTTAGAAATTGCTACTATTGTATTTGTTAAGTCTTTTATTGTACGTAAAAATAAGAAAACATAATGAAACTTATTAATAATCATGTGTTAATTAACGTAAGACACTTATTAAACAAGTTCACTATTTCTGTAATTATTTAAGTAGGATAATTTTTTATGTTTCTTATTATGTATTTTGAGTTGTGATTTCGGAATGCGGCCACTTTAAGATTAAGTTTAAACACTTGACTCTTGCGGCGCTCTAGTTTTTCATATTGTGCTTCATACTAGTTTGTGACTGCGCTTCGTGTTGTCGTAGAAAGTTTTTGTATTTGTATTTAGTATTTTTGGCTGAATTTCTTTACAATGTCAAGAACTAGCCCCACACAATTTACAATAATGGTAGAGTTCATGGAAAAGTAAGTAACTGATTGATACACAACAACAATAATTATATATTGATGACTGTTTAAGTAATGAATATTATGTTTATTTCTAAGGAATGGTGACTTATCTAAACCTCAAAATTTACCGCACGGGCGACTGTGGTGTATTAGGAAGTGGAAGGAGTTAAGCGATTTGCTTAACAGCCAAGGAATTGGAGAGTCTCGAAGTGAAGAAAAGTGGCGAAAAGTAAGTTCTAGTTTCATTGTTCCTAAACCTTCATTACAAATCAAGAGCGCTTACCTACATAGAGTTTTAAAAGCAAGGCTGATTTTGTGTAGTCAAAATTTTAAGTTAATTATCGTTTTATTTGCTTTGCTAAAGGTGTGGAGTGATTTAAAAAACAACACGAAGAGGAAGTGGGCCAAAATTAATAAAACTGCTCATGGTACTGGTGGTGGGCCTGCCTTAAAAATGTGTCTCACAGATTTGGAGAATAGGGTGCTGTCGATAATGGGTGTCGAAGCAGCAACTGGGATGGCCATAGCTGAAGTTGGTTTTAGCACGGTTTGTTAAATTTTTATCATGAAATCAATATCAAACTAAAAAAGCGCTCATATAAGTTACGAACCCCAATTCTGAATTACCTTGCTGACTTTTTTAGAATATATATTCATCATCACTATTCTAGTTTAGCAAACCTTTCATACTTACATAAATAGAACATTATTAGAAATCAAAAACTTTAATTTTACGATTTAATATCATAATAACATGATGAATTCTTTCACTATGAAAATATGACATACAGAAACTAATTTATATAAATGTAAATAACTAGAATAAGGCTAATAACCTATATTATTTTGCAGGTAGAAGAATCTGAAAAAGTAAGCAAAACTGTTTTTATACCTGTGGAGCCAGTAAATACAGAGGATATAATAATTGTACCAAATGAAGTTCCTGCTACTGGTAAGTCTTCAACTACTCATATATATAAAAAAATTAATGACTAATATGAATTATTTGTAATTATTATTTATTTTGATTTTCAAATAACCAGGACCCATGTTGCCACATGTAGCTTTATATAGCATTACATATTTTACATTACATATTTTATACGTGGTAGAGCCATCCTGCAGTTATACCTATTAGTAGTATAGTTGTAGTACGAATGGTTCGGCTTGACCGGAGAAAGAGCTTAATGCTGCTGTGTTTTGTATGGTGAGTGTAGAGAACCGGAGACCCTTTTTACTGAAAACGGGACATTCCATCTTAGTCCTCACGGATGACAACGCATCTGCATTTTGATTCGTCATCGAGGATAGATGTCGATGTCTATGGGCCACAGCAACCACTTACCATCAGGTGGATTGTGTGCTCGTTTGTCACCCTTATTATATAAAAAATCTTTTAACTTACAAATACTTATTTTTAACTATATGAAAAGTAAATAATTGTAAAATAAATGAAGATAATTCTGTAAGAAGTTCAAGTTTTCAATTGGTTTTTTCAGATGATGAGGACTGGAATACTCCTGGCTGCAGCAAGGATCCAGTAGTTATACCTCCAAGCAATCACAGATCCCTCACACCACCCCGATCCCCAACATCTCCGCAATCTGCCACACAGCCGAAATCTCCCACCCAGTTGCCCCCCAGGCAACCCACCCCACAACCTCCACTTCAGCGCCGCCAATCCAAGAAGAAACAACTTAAGTCATTAGAGGAATATTTCTTTTTGTGTGAGGAGAATATAAGAAGTGATAACAGAGAGAGAGAAAAGATGTTTGTAGAGTTAGAACAAGAGAGGATTCGACAGAGAGATATCGAGCTCCATCAGCGTGATAGTGAGCTACAGTTGCAAGCTCAGTGGCTGGAATTTATGCGGGGAGCATTAGATATTTTACAAAAAATATTTGGATGATAGAAAATGAATGAATGAGAGTTTTAATTTAGACTTTTTAATAGAATAATGGTGATAAATGAGCACACAGTCCATCTGATGGAAGTGGATCATGTGACCCATAAATAACTACATTTATTTTAGATTAAAAATCAAAATGCAGCTGAGATGTCTGAGGACGCTTGTGAGCTAATATGGAATGCCTCGTTTTCAGTAAACTCACCATATGCATTAAGCTACTTGGCAATATACCGTGAGGACCGTAATATAATATAATTTAAGTTTTTAGTTTTAGTTTTTTATGGTAATAAATATTGCATATAAATAAGAATTAATTGTGATTTTTGTAGTATTAATGTACCTATTTAGTAATGTAATGATATATATGTTTATTAAAATATCTCATTGAAATTGTTAATGTATTTTTTATTCAAACTTAATATTAATACCGATAAAAATAAATAACACTTAAAATCTAAATCGTAATAACAAAACAATTCAAAGCGTTTTTCAAACTAAATAGATATACAACATAACATGGAATCAAATTCAATAGAAATACACGTTTTTCTGTTCAATACATATTAAGAGTACCTACTTATTGAAAGTCACTTTTATGTTTAATTTACCACTGGTTCGGAAAATACGATGAGTTATAGCGCTGAGGGCCTCGGGTTCAAATCCCGCACGGAACAAGTATGTGTATGGCCTAAAAGTAATTGTCCCGGCTCTGGGTGTTTGTCCTTGTGCAATTTATGTTTGTAAAATGCCTCCACGATACTGGAGAAAACCCTAGTGAGGGGTAACGTTTTTTAAAAAGTAAAGAAGTAAAGTAAAAAAAATATTAGCAACAAAATCCAAGGTAAATTAAAAAAATGTTTACAGTGAAGTATTATATTATATAATTAACTATACAAATCATATTAGAAATGGCTTGGTAGCGACTACCTCATTCCCAGGGGTAATTAGCATCCATTATTTCCTTAATATTATAATAACTATTTTTATACAATACATGCTTAATAAATTTTGTGAAGTTGTCAGTGGACGAAATTTTGTTAAAAATTAATGTAAATTACGAAAAAAGTAATAAATAGATCATTATTATTATTGTTAATATAAAATTCAATTTGGGCATATGCACATATTACATATGTATAGAAGAACTACGCTGCAGTAAGTCTACCTACAAGAATTCTTCTCATAGCACGGCCTCTTATTAAATCACTCTGACTACTATCACTTCTAATACATAAAGTGGGTTGATTTACGTTTTCAGTTAAATTGTTATCATATACATCTGCCTCTGGGTCAGGTACGCCAAATTGCATAGCTATGTTATGTAGTACACAACAAGCTATAATTATTTTGGCGCATTTTTCTGGTTTGTAATGCAGAGTGCGATCCTTGTTTACACATCTCCACCTATTTTTCAATCTTCCAAAGGTATTTTCTACAACCACTCTCGCTTTCCCGTGAAGTAAGGTATAATTAGCTTCAGGGCTTCCCTCTACAGCATCAGGAATGGGTGTCATTAACCATGGCCTTTGTGGATATCCAGAATCACCTGCACCAATTATGAAAATGTATTATTTATATTATAAAAAGGATGATATTCATTATAAAAAGTATTAAAAATAATTATAAAAATTAAATTGGAAAACTAAAAAGGACATTTAATTAACCTGTAAAAAGCATTTTTTGAAGCTAACATAATAACACAACTTACCAAGTAGCCATACTTGTTCATTGTTAAGATGTAATTCTTGCATATACTGGTTTACTAGGCTATTATCCCAAATAAAAGCATCATGGGTGGCACCTCCATATTTTGCATTCACATTTAAAATACGGCATTCACTGTCACAAACCTACAAATAATTTTTTGTTAGTTTTCAAATAATAACATAAAATATCAATGTACTTAATTTAATACTTAGTTCAAAATTCATCACCATAATCATTATCATTACAGCCTATTAATGTCATAGTTATGGCGTACCTAGTTGCCCGCAAATGGATTGGCAACCGCAGTTTTTTCATTTATTAATTATTATGAAAGTGTTGTTACCCATCTCCTTCCCTCTGTTGCCTCTTACGACTAGAGAAACGGAAGATATGGGGTAGTGGATATTCCCATATCGCCACTACTCATTAGATTACAAGCTACATGGAGTACCTTCAAATTAAACTTACAACTTGTACATTAAGGGAATGAAAATGCTTTCTGCAATAAAATAAGTGTTCAATTTCTTTTTGTGGTGTAAATATGCGGAAATGTGATCCATCTATGCAGCCAATGACACCCGGTATCTTATATGTAGTCAAAAATCTGTGAAAAATAATTATTTTTTTAATTTAATTCGACTAGAGAATTTAACAAAGTTAAAAACACAACATTTTAAGTTTGTAAGTACTTTTGCTTAATGACGTCTCTCTCAGCCCTTGAAGTGGGGAACTTGATAAAATTGTTGCATATTATTTGGCTGTTAAGTGCCTCCGTAACTTGAGAAACACATTTGCTAACACTTGTTTGGCCTAAATGTTTACCCATACCAACTAAACGTTGATATGAGCCCGTTGCGTAAAATGATAAAGCACAAAGAACCTAAAACATAAATGAAATAAATAATACATTTTAGGTCACAGAATAACTACGACAGGTACATAAACTTTGAGCATTGTTTTATACCTTAAGCTCTAAACTTATTCTTTTACTATCTCTCAAGTTTGTTTTAGAGCGAAGTTCATGACAAAGGTATATAAATGCATTTTTACTCAATCTATATCTTTTTTTTAAACTCCAATTCAGAAATATCCATAGGGTCTTCAGTTCGTCGAAGAAAAACGCGTTGTGTAACACCACTGGAATTATTTAGATATATTTAATTTAAACTGCTATAAAAAATATTACTAATACATAAAATAATTAATTTAAGGGAATTATATGTACCTTAATTCTCGTCTTTGTTTTCTTGCCTCGACTGCCAAACGCCACGCGAAATAATAAAAAGCCGTGGATCTCATTCTATTTCTTCTTAATAAAAACATTTTAAACTAAAATCAACGAAGGACTTAGAGAAATTTAAAAGTAAGACTTCACGATAGCGTTCTCACCGTAAAAATGTCGGTGAGAATGATTTCGTAGTTCTCTGCAGTGTATAGACGATAACGTACGTCAAAAAAAGATTCGTGCTGCCGATTCCCATACATTTTGTGTCTTACTATACGTTAAACTATACGAAAGCGATACGTAACGTAGCGGTAGATGTTCGTGCTTCTAAATTTTAGTTCCAAATACGTCCACGGAGCGCTGTTCAAATTCCCATACAAAATTTAACTGAAACTAAACTGTGGCGTAAACTATACGATAGATCAAAATATTCGTGCTAGGGGTACGGAGCGCTGTTCAAATTCCCATACAAAATTTAACTGAAACTAAACTGTGGCGTAAACTATACGATAGATCAAAATATTCGTGCTAGGGGTACGGGTCCCGCGCGTACGTCACAGTGACCGAGTGAAGCCGGCCACAGTCGAGCGTGTACCTGCTGTACTACGATATGTCAGAGGAGTCACAGACAAGGTTGGCTGCATATTGAAGCGAGCTTCCGTTAAATTATACTACAAGCCGCCGAAGAAGATTGGTCAATTTTTACCATCCGTCAGGTGTAATATCCCTCTACAAGATGCAGGAGTGTACAAGTAACAACGTTCGCTCTGTCAACGTTTACGGAAATTCAATTATACAAATTACCGTGTTCCTTACTTTTACATAAAAAACTGGCGTTGAGAGACAATCAAAGCGCGGTGCTTATATACTTCAAAACCTTCGCTAGCTTCGAAGAAGAGACTGGTCGATGGTCGGCGTATTTCTTCGCTTCCTGTTTGTCACTTGATGAACGTTGTATTAATTTCTTCATTCATTTCATATTTTTCATTCAGTTCATAACTTCAAACAATGTTAATTCGAAGCCAAGATTCTCCACTCCAAACCAACGCACTGTGTCCGGGTCTAGCTTTTTTAACGCAATATGTAAAAAAACAAAGTCCCCAAGGTCATCAAATTTAAAAAAAAATTACAGCTACTGCAGTTACGAATTTATCCAAAAATTGTTCGAGGCTATTGATATTCGTGTGCGACATGCTTTATGATTGAATATTTGATCTAAATATGAAGAGGCTAGCATTCGCTTATCTACATATTATTTATTTTTAAGCGTCTCGAATATTAACGAATAGTTATTTGCTGTTGGTGTGAAACCAGTACACACAAATTACGCTTTGCCACTTAGCTTATAAATTAAATAATATAATTTTTCAGTGTCTCATCAAGAGGAATTGTTATGTATAGTGTTTTGAAAGCTAGTAATAAATAGCGGCTAAGTTTTAATATCACCATTAAACATCGGGATATCGGTAGGTAGCGATCTTAGTGATTCACGTGGATGTAAGTGAACTCCTGGCTTTACGTCGCTCTGGGCTGCAGGTTGTATTCACCTAGCCGCTAGCTTTACAAGACACAATAGATCCTTGAATGCTATAAGCGAATGATAATTCTACTGTTACGATAACGACTACATAACTAGAATCAATTTGAAGTTCGAGACTATTAATTCTGTCCAATACACTTTCGTAGTCTAACCTCAACGAATCCACTGTTTTGATTTCACACAAAAATGCTTACCGCACTGATTTTTTATTAATTTTTTATATAATCACTGATGTATTGTATACGAGAAAACAGCACATCCCTTTTGGCGTAAGGAGTTTTAAGTTTAATTTCATTTGAACTAACTGCCATCTTATAATACTATAATTAATTTTAAATTAACACAAAACAATCGATAAATAAAATATGTTTTAATCTTTCTAAACGATCTTTCCAAAGGCTTAATTATAGGTTCTTTATAGGCCGTTTGTAATAATTTTGGCGAGAAAGGTTAAGAACATAAAACGTCCCTATTCCACTTGTATCAGGTTTACATTATTAACTTATTATTATTTATCCCTTCCCGCTTGGAAAAGGCTCACAATATATTTATACAAAATACCCGATAAAAAGGCTTCGCTCTCCTACATTTATTTAAAATAATTGTAGAGGAGGCACACGGCTCCGTACACGCCGTGCGTGGTGAGCGCCAACCATTTTGATGCACTCCCCTTCGGGAATACGGGAACTGGCCCGTAGTCCACAACAAAATAACTGGCGAACCAGTAAAAGAGAGCTTGGCTCCTTAGTAGTGCGTAAGCACAAACATCGACCGAAGTCGCGCATGTCAATGCGTGTAAACGCCATACAGAATACGATCGAATCCAGCCACAGTGAATGTACGTCACACGGCTTAGGCAAATAGGCACACTGGCCGTAAACCCTCCGTGAGCGCCACCACCTGCCATACCGCCGCTTCTGCAGACGTGATGTAAGTGTATGGCATCACCACCAATTGCATTATCAGCACGGCTACTAACCGCAGAGCGTGTCAGGAGTCTACCGCTCACCTCAAGGGAATGGGTTCCCACGTGGTGCGACTTTCGGCCGCAGCCTTGAGAGTCTCCTCAGATCTTCTATCCAGCTACCACCCGCATGAGGTCGACACGTATGCTCCATCAAGCAATACAACGGCAGATATAGCCAAAAGGCAGTTATAAGATATTAGTAATAATTTGCTATTTATAATAGATAGTAGTAATAATATAGGACTAGTCATTGTGCTACAGTACTTCAAGCAGTCGGGCACCCGACCACCCCATATATATGTACAACCTTAAGTATGAGTATTCGTCTCCGACAGCTCCTCCATACAAGCCTACATGAACACCTTCCATAACTTAGCAAAATTTTCTTTTATACACGATCTTATAGGACAGACAATTTTTATACCAATTTTATAATTATCTTATAAATGTTATTTATCTTTATTTTTATAATATTTTCGACTTGTATTTCTATTATTTATCACATTTTACAAGTTTTATAATAAATTTATATATTTTGAAAGACAATATTTTGCCTTAAATTTACTATTATACTTAATGTCTGAAATGTATTTATTTTTAACTTTATGCTTATTAATGTAAAAATTATTGTTTAATATACATCTTTTAAGACTATTCTTGATTCCCCCTTATATAGAAATTGATTATTAAATATTAATAATAATGATGAGCCTTCACACTATCAACCCGTTCATAGGTTCGCAACAAGGAATATACTGTTTTAAGAGGAAAGTGACGATGAGCCAAACAAATTAACAGATAACAGAGAGCAAGGGTTCCAATGCTTATCCTCAAATATCAGCTCATCAGTAGTAATCTTTGCTTGAAGTTTGTTGCAGTAGTTTACTTACCCTTTGTGTTCATTTAATTGCTACAGTTTTAAATTAGTAACTTTAAAAAAATAATAAATTACCTTATTTAGACAAGATTAACAGCATATAATGATGTCGTATTTTTAAAATATTTTATTATTAAGTTAAATTCTAATTAGGTATTAATTATTCTATTTCATTTTAGAGTTTTGATAAACCGATATGCTTTTGTAAATTGACTCCAAGTCAAGTAAGTTAACATGAACTATTTACATCACCGAACACTGCAAACAAGAACATATTTTTCAAAATAATTCGACTAAGATTTCATTACAAAGACGGCCTAGTTTATTCTTAATATAAGGTAAGAATTCAGAAATTTAATAAATTTTGTAAACACGTACAGGCAAGAACATTCAGAAGGTCGATCCTCCAACCACCAATTAGTATTCCACGGACTACGGTCACAATTTGCTGACCATGTCATTTGTTTCAGCCCTACAATCAATTTTATCCCTACCTTGGATCTAAGTAATTACTATAATACAGGTAAGATATTTGAACCTTTTTTTGTTGCTTGATGAAATTTATTACACTAGTTACCATGAACATAAAAAATATAAAAAAATATTATATAATATAAAAATAGATCGCAGGGATATCACAGATCTCATACGTAAAATATAATAAATTAATTTGTTGGTTCGTATGGGATGTGTAGAAATTAGATTGTCGATAATGTTTCAGAAAAAATATTAAAACTACGGCAACCGTTTTCCTTAAAATTATATTTTAATTTGGGTTTTCACGATTTGATATCTAAAATAAATAAAAATTATGATTTTGTTTATGTTCTCATAAATTGTTATGATAGATGTTTATCTTAGATGATAGATTATGCAATTTTTAAAGAGTTTTAAAAACTTAGTAAGAGTAGGTTACGTCCAGGGAAGGATGACGATAAACGTGGGCTACTAAGCCGGTATTCTACTGCTAAATAAAATATTTTAACTAAAGTTTTTGAATATAATAAAAATAATAAAGAAAACAATATCACCGTGGAGTGGCGCTGTAAAATATCTACCACCCCATATTGTACTGTAGGTTTCGTTACAGACGACAGAGGGCAATCTACGGGAGATGTACAGCAGCATCCTGCCGATAACAACGCTGAATAGTAAAAAACTGTTGTTTCCAGCCCGCTCGCCAAGTGAGGCAGCTACGGAAATCATCCTCCGTATGAGGCAATCCATTGGGATGCTTGTGTTCGTAAGTGGATTTTTGGTAGGACAAATATTTAAAACTAATTCAAATATAATCTCAGTATAAGATGTCTGTCGTAGGTTTTTTTCAACTTCTTTTTCAACAAATGCTTTCCCTTCTCTCTATTTAAATGACACAATAATTTTTTCATTAT